TCTCTCTTTCTCTCTCTCTCTCTCTCTCTCTCTCTCTCTCTCTCTCTCTCTCTCTCTCTCTCTCTCTCCGTGTGTGTGTGTGTGTGTTTCGGATCGCCGCCTGTTTTCATTGAAAAACAAAGGAAACTTAACTAGCTAGCCAGTTGAGTAATTCGACTTGGCCTTAAAGAGCACTCATCACCAAAAGAAAGAATAACCACAAAGAAAGGGGAAAAAAATAAAGAAAAATTCACTAGAAAACCATTGATAGAGAGCAAAGACCACTTTTTTTTTGGGGGGGGGGTTGGGGGGGTTGGGGGGGTTGGGCGCGAGGTTGAAGATTTTCACCACGACAGCCCCTGTTCCACCCAGATGAGTAGATTTCAAGATCAAAGCAGCTTTACCTCTATTGCAGACAATGAAGAACACTTGAGATGAGTCAATCCAACAATGATACAGTTTTACCTCTATAGCCAGCAACATGGGCACAATAGATCCATCACATCCCTTTCTTACCTATCTTTACTTTTGGCTTTCTTTAGGGGTACCCCTTTTAGTTGTTCTTGCAGCTCCCTTTTTACTGTGCATCTCATGTACAAGGCTGGCCACGTTGATTGTGGTTGAGCCCCAGCTGCCCACATCCCCGTGTGCCATAACGGCCCACTTGCATGTTATGAAAGGAGGCAGAGTAAACGTGGAGTTATACTCCTGTTCATTTTTCCTGGATCTTCAGTTTATATTTTGCCTGTTCTCTTAATGACGCTCAGCCGTATGCATTTACTAGAAGTACTCAAGAGGAGGGAGGAAGGAAAGGGGTAGGGGTGGAGTTCTACGGGACATGAGGGGCGGAGAAGGAAGAAGGGGTATAGGAGGGAGGTGGAGGGGAAAAGAACAGAACAGACGAAAGACGAAACTTCACAGGCTTCTGAGTGCTCACTGCTGGAATAGACTACTCTAGAATGGCAAAAGAGGCCAGTCAGGGTTTGGGGTGCAGGAGCTTCTGAGTTGAGGTGCCGCAGGTGCGTATGGTAAGCGGCCACCCCTACAGACCGGACACGACCGGTTCGCGTGTCGACTGTGGACGCACCGCTTCCAATTCTCACAGTTGCAGTTGCTGCTTCAAATGGCACAGCATAGACAGATGTCACAGGCTACATGGCTCCTACATGCTAGGAACACAGAGGCACAGCAACCGCAATTGTTTAGGCATTGCCGTTCCTGCCCCAGGAGATGTCAGGGTGCCGTACAAGAGTGTAATATTGACTGTCATCATATGTAAGAAAACAAAACTTGCATGGGCTCTGCCTTCATAATCCTCACGACACAAAGCATGCGAGATACACGCTAGCCGAATCTCAGGTGGGCCATCACAGAGCGGCATTGAAAAAGTTTCTTGGATTCCCGCAGTCATTACTCAGGTGACAATGAGCTCTGATCCAAGGTAAGGGTGCTTAGCTGTCACAGGATTTGGTCCACAACAACTCGCCCTGGAGGCGATGACCTTTCAGTACAGCGCAAAGTAGGTGGTTCATGTGATGGTCTATTTTCCACCTCAGGCTGCTGCATGTGGTGTTCGTTTGGTATGGATCAGGGTGATCGGACTGCGGTTGAAGCAGGTGTATGCCCCCCCCCCAATGCTGCATCTGGGACATGCTAGAACCATTGACAACACATGGCATGTTGCTGACATGCCAGAAGGAAAACAGGCTGATGTTCACAGTTATTTAAGCATAGCAGGTCAATACCACAACGGCATGCTGGGCAAGTAGATTATGGGTTGGGGGGGACGAGTGCAAGCAAATGGGGCGAAGTTTTTGCGGCAGAGGCTAGCAGTGACCATCTCTTCATAGTGTTTGGAGCAGAGATGATGTTGTGTGCATGCTAACCAGACTGCAGCTGTCTGTGGAGACACAGTGGCA